AACACAACAGACACACCAAATTAGAGAAAGGACTAAGAAATATCTACTGGAAAACATAAAAGTCACTGCTCACCGTCATTTCTGAGAAATAACATAGAAACCCAGATTGCTCTGGTTTAAAAACAATCACGATAGGAAATTGACAATGGTTATTGTATTGCATATTGTTTGAATTCTGCATCTTTTCTTTTTCTCTTTAAAATAAAAAAATCAGTATATAGGAAAGTCGAAGTACAGTATGTATTTTAGGCTAATTTCACAAAAAGGAATTACTAATAAAGTGAGCAGTGGTGAAGATAAAGTATCGGTTGGAAAATGTCAGAAAATTGTTTCCATTTAATGACTTCTGTGTTTTCTGATGAGTGGGGAATAGTGGCAAAGTTTGAAATAAACCAATAAAATTCAAATGCAATTAAAGATCAATAGAAAATTAATAAAGCTTAATTACTGCTCAATACAGGCAATATGACAGATTTTTAGTAAGTTGTATGTAAATCAACACTAATTTCTAGTATGATGCATATTTTAAATTTCTCTATTTTTCCATATCTTAGTTTGCTGTATTTTGCTCAGATGGGGGAGAATAACACCGTCTGGTGTGGATGCTTCTCTGCACTCATTCATGTCTGTTCTGACAGTGAATGCATTACAATTTATGCTGTCCTTATCCAAGTGTGCATCACTGGCACCATTTGACTTAACTGCAGTGACTTGTGATTGTTACTGTATCTGCCATTATTTTCTACGTATTTCAGATACTTAGAAAAGGTTGAATGTTATAAAACTGAGTTCTAAAAGTAGATATTTAGGTCAGCATTGTGCTTTTTCTTGTAACAGTTCTCTCACTTATTTTCTCACATCTACTTTCCCCCAACTCCTATCTTTAGTCCAAATGAATGTATTTTTAAAAAACTCTGAACATAATGTGCAGTTCTTAAAATATGTTGATCCTGGGACCATAGGCTCTTCCTCCTTGTCTGACCTTATTTCTTTGCCCTCCAGACCATTAGCCTCAAAACTTTTTTCACTATGTTCTCTTTGCCAAAAATGTTCTTCTGAATCTTCTTTCTACCCCTATTTTGGCTGTCAGACTTCAGTAATCCTAAATTAAATTTTCCTTTTCTGGATATTTCCCTTAATATATGTGTCCCTCTGGAATAATTATCACAGTTCTAATTTGTTTATTTTTTCTATTTGATTGATGTCTGTCTGTCCCAGTGAATTGTAACTTTCACAGGTAAATATGTCTGACTCTGTGAGCAAAATTAGATATATCACCACACTTACTATTTAGTATAAGTAATTAATACAGTTTTGCTAAATAGATCTATAAATTCATGAACAAACAGAACAATATAAGTTCACCATGACCAGACTACTAAACCTAACTCTTTTATTCATTCTTCACTCAGAAGTATATTCCATATGGCAGACAAGATAAATGACAAAGACTCTTCAACTATAGAATCTTTTGCTTATTTAGGCAGAAAATATTTTTAATACAAAGATTATCTTCATAGTCCCTGAAGAACAGCTAAAACTTGATCTCGCTACAGGTTAAAAATGTTTTTATATGCTCACATAGTTAGAAAGTAATGTTCTCTCCATAATTGAAATCTTATATAATGGCAACCTTCCAAAACATTTCATACTCTTGTCTTCAGGCAGGATTGAAAAATAAGGAAAACAAAAGATATTATTATCCTTGATATGTATTGTACCTGGTATGAGGTTAAGGAGTTTTTCTTAGTCACTCAGTTTTCACTTGTACTGAAGAGTAACAACAAGGCAAGTTTGTCAGTATTGTATATGGCAAACGTGTACAATCTCATATAGGAAATAAGTAATTGACAGTGTCTACGTATGACACAATTCATTGTTATAGAAAAGATAAAATTCAGAATTTTGTACTGTTTTGTTTACTTGTATATTGATTTGAATTTGAAGAGCATTTAATTATTATACAACTTTTACTTCATGTCCCCCTCAGCTTCGGTGTTCATCCATTTTGTACGCACATGTGCCCTCAATTGGAAGTCTCTCCCCTCTGTTTTGCTGTTCAGTGTGTGTATCGGATCTTTCACGTTAATTCCCTCTCATCTGCCCCATCATCATTCTCTGTTCTTTCCACTGCTCTCTGATTTCTTACTAGGACATCTTACTCGGTCTCACTTCCTTTATGTTGAACTTACCTTGATCTAAGGAGACTGCGTGAAAAGTTTCAGAAACTAATGTGGTATGTAAATCTAAGATAAATATTGTATTTATCCCTGTGTCTTAAACATAATGACATCTCTTTCTTGGAGTAAGTGCCATCTAGACTCTTGTTTTTGTAACCAGTGGGTTTGTTTCAGTTACCTTCCATGGAAGTTCTAAGTATGTGGTGGGCTGGGATGTGCAAAGACATTGAAGGCAAGCTGAGGTTGAAATCACTCATCCCTACTCATTGTACTTAATTACATTGACCTTAGACAGTTGTTTCATTTGTGTAAAACAACCCTCCTAATATCTACCCCAGAGAACTACGCTAAAGATCTAATACAAGCAGATCTTCATTTCCTGCTTCACCTTTTCTGTCTTCTATTTTAGCCGTTAGTAGACATGTACAGTCACATATTTGGTGGCTATTATGTACCGTCATTCTTTGTTTTTCATCATTTAGAGAAAAAAAGTATTTTCCATGCTGATTTCATAGAAATTTGAATGGATATTATTGGCAGACTGGATCATTACAATGAGAATATTTCCATCACATACCTGCAAATGAGTGAAATTCCTCCACCTCTGTTTATGTGATTTCTAAATCTCTTCATCACTTTGATTTACTCTAAGGACACTGACATTAAGTTTAAATTATTTGCCACAGCAGGTGTTTAAAAGCCTGGACATTTATTCTAGGCCTTCTTGAGCCAAAGCAGGGGCCCATTCTGTTGTGCTTTACCGTAGACTTTGTACACCACAGAGTTTTGGAGTAGTAGATATCCTAAGTATCAGTAGACAAAGAGGTATAATAAACTTAATAAGAAGGAAGGTAAATGACACTCTATGACTGGGAACACAAAGGTATGCAAGCAGTAACTTTTGAAATACATATCTGCCCTTTCATTGAAGGCAGTTAAAAGCATTAAAATGTAGTAAATAAGATCAATAGAGGGGGGAAATATATATATTTGATCACTAAACTAAAAGCTATTGGCAAAGTGCAAAGTTTATGAAGTGGAAGGGATGAAAGGGGAAAGGAGAAGAAAGTTCCACCAAAAACAAAACTAAAGTTTTCACAAGTGTTTCCAAAGTTATATTCCATCAGTTATAGTTTTTTGATGAAGAAGCTGCTATCAGATACTTGAAGTGTATAATCTTCATTGAAGTTAATAAATTCATCTCACTTAAAATTTAATACCACAGTACCTCAGTTTACAGACTTAATTAGCTTTATGATATGGGGGAGATGGATGTGCTTGTTTTTTTGTCGGGAAGATGGCCCTGGTTGTGTTTGTCTCCTGATGCAGAGTTTGTGAACAGAAGTAAAAGCATACTGCATGCTTTTGTTTGAGAATCAAATTGTTTGTAAACAGAAGCAGTTGTGAACTGAGGTATTACTGTAAGTATTTGGTTTTTTCAGTTTTGAAAGGAAACTGACTTGCAGGATGAAGGGTTCCTTGCCCCCAATTATTTTCTATAATTTTGTTGTATTTTTGTTTTCATTTTAACTTTTAAATATCTTCTTAATACAAAAGTATAAATTTTATGAGCTACCATAAATGTAAATATTTCACATCAGCATTATTTATCTGTTTTTGATTTGTACAATGCTGGGCATAGAAATCTGAGTCATGTATACTACAGAAGCTACACCACTGAACTATACCTTCAAGTCCCTCAAGCTTCTTTTTAAAAAGATGCTGAGAACAATGTACCCTGACAACAATCTATTTCATATATATATTTCAGGCCTTCTAGATCTTCCAAACTCTAACACTCATGTAATAAAAATTGTTGCAAAGGATTTGATTTTACACAAATAATTATAGACATATACTAAAGATAATTCATTAGTTTTTATGTTTTGGGGTTTCAAAATTCATGAACTCCTTTTATACCTCATTTCAATTTACATCAAGAAACTGTGATGCCTAATGTTCTCAATTCAGAGAAAATCCAGTCACTTGTAGCCAGAGATGGCTCGTTAGTACTATTGATACTTTTTAAAAATGCAGAATGCATCTAGTCCCCTAAGCCCAAAGAAAAGCCAATGTAGTTGTCTTTTATTTTTTCCAGTGTAAACACATACTTAGTGATTTCATATCAGTTTTTATATTGAAAGAAAAAATTCCTGATGTTATAGGGGTGATTTATTTCTTAAATCTTTGACTGATGTGGAAAAGCTCACCAACTCCACTCTGTCGCTAGGTAAAATGTACAAAAATGAAGTTCAGAATTTTATACATGAAAGTGCAACTCTATCATAGGGAAGCTTTTCATCTTTGTATATGGCCTGCCATGCTGGATTTCATTTAACAGCTGAATTTCATAGACAAGGATGAGACATTTCTTCAAAGAACCTGAGCAAATACTATAATCCATTTTCCTCTGAAATTACAGTTGTTAAATTAGACACAAAACATTATGAATGTCACTTTGCCTTTCCATCAATTACGGAGTTCAGAAAAATACCTTCATGTTGCATGTCTTTGAAATTATTATATTTATCCTGAACTGACCTTTCAATTTGTTCTATTAAATACTTGGCACGTTAGAGCAAGACATCAATTCTGAACAGGTGTGGAAAAGGGTTGCTTGATGTATAAAAGTGTTCTATTTTTAAAGTCCTTTTAGCAATTTTGGTATGTCTACCGCTGTAAAACCCCAGGTAAGTAGGAAGGAAATTCATTTCTTTCCAAAGGGAAGAAAATATGTGGGTCAAAATCGTAGAGCTAATGTTATCATGACGAGCAACAGTTGGTGACTTTACTGAAATTTTCCCTTGCTCATTGTTTCAGTGCTGATCCTCCTGATCATCACCATGAGAAGACGGAAAAAAGAGCCCCTCATTTTTGATGAAGAGAGAGATATCAGAGAAAACATCGTTAGATATGATGACGAAGGTGGGGGAGAGGAGGACACTGAGGCCTTTGACATGGCCGCACTGAGAAACCTCAACGTCATCAGAGATACGAAGACCCGGAGGGATGTGACTCCAGAGATTCAGTTCTTGAGTCGACCAACTTTTAAAAGCATCCCGGACAACGTCATTTTTCGGGAATTTATTTGGGAAAGACTGAAGGAAGCTGACATTGACCCGGGTGCTCCACCATATGACTCTCTGCAGACTTATGCCTTTGAAGGAAATGGCTCAGTTGCAGAATCACTCAGTTCTTTAGATTCCATCAGCTCAAACTCTGACCAGAATTATGACTACCTAAGTGACTGGGGACCTCGCTTTAAACGACTCGCAGATATGTACGGAACTGGCCAAGAGAGTTTGTACTCATAGCCCAAGAACCTTAATTTGCAATGTACTGAAGAAAAAGTAACATCAAAAAACACTACACAGAGAAAGCAAGAACTCCATGAGTTGGAGGAAAGTGGTTGTAAATATGTCTCCATTTTTAACTGTTTAGGTTTCCGCCTTGGTGAAGCATATCTTCATTAGACTTATCCAAGGGACTGCACTGACTACAAACTCTGAGCATTTGAAGTTTTTTTTTTTAAATAAAAACAAATGCTCAGTAGTTTGTGAATAGATAGCAACTCTAATATACCTGCAAAGGCATGTAATTTCCATAAGTAAATAGTGCACTGTGTTATCAGTGAGCTAAAGATTCCCTGGACATGCCTCCATGGTACTGTCAGTAACAGAAATAGAACACTCTCCACAAGAGAAACGTGCCATCCAAAAGTTCTGAAACGTCTTGCATTTCAAAACTTGGCACCAATTTAATTTATGGCAATGCTTTTAGCTTACTAATATGATAGAATTCAGCAGATTTTTATTGCTGGTGGTTAGAATAAATATTTTATTTAGTAATATGTAAATTCTCAGAGTATCTTTCCCAAATGAAAACCCCTCAATAAAAGTCAGTAAAATCTGGTGTGAAGCAAAAAAAGCCATTGTTTTAACCAATAAATAATGAAATGTTCCAAATAAGAAAAAGGTAAATGATTCTTCAAGTTTGTTATAGCTTTGAGATGCTTGTGTAGGTATGATTTTCAAAAGAAGTTGCTGTCTATTCATTAATTTTTTTATTATCTCTTCTGATTTGTACAGGAGAATATCTTTTCTTTTTTTATTTGACACATGGTGTTGTATTTATTTTGGAGCTCCAATCTCCACGAAGTTCAGGTCCATCTTACTGCCTCATAGTATAAATTTCCTCTGAACGTGCTGGGTTTTCTCCAGCCTGAGCTACTGGAAGGAGATGAAGCGTGGAAACGGAGAAAGAATAGGACAGCAATTGAGCGCTGTCACAGTCACATCTCAAAGTGGAGCACAGCCTCAAGGATATAGAGATTGTTCTGAGCCATTAGAATGTACCAACCATTTGCATACAATATCGATGTTTTTAGAAAGACTTCAGAGAGAATTGGGATTTTCTTTGATGCAAGATTTATTTTCCAAGGTCATGAGTTGCGTTCCAAAGACGTTCAAGAATTGGTTTCCCAACCTCTTTGGCTGTAAACATATTAAGTAAAAGGCTGACTTTTAAACAGTATAGCATATATTTCATGCCCATCTTTAAATTCTAACGCAAATGTTTCCCTCAAGAACTAATGAAGTGTGGTGTAATTTCTCTTGTGGTTTATATGTGCCAAAGGGAAGAGAGTGATTGCATAATCACTTGGGCTTAAGTTTGAGACAGTTATCTTAGTGTAAGACTTCTTTTTAACCAAAATAATTATTTTTCTTGGATTAAGACTTCTTCATTGTGCTTATAATCAAGTAACAATGGATTTATTTTTTCCCCTGCATTCTGCTTTTTAAAAAAACAATTCATTGCTGGGCTCCTACCAATCTACAGATAGTGAATGCTTGGAAGGAATTGTGTTTTATAAGTACTTCTTTCTAAAAGGGAGACTCTGGAAACAGAATATCAATATGCTGGTTACATAAAGAGAAACTATGTAGGATTATGTGAACTTGCAATCCATCTTTAGAAATGCAGGATGTGAATGTGGCCTTCAGCTTCATAATAATAGATAATTCAATAAATTTGACTATCTGCAAGCAGTACTTTAATTTGAATAAAGTTTTTAGAGGTTTCATGACCAGCTAGATGTGCATCTTGCTATATGAATATGCTTATATATAAAGAATTTTATAACAGTGTAAAAAATATTGTTTATATCATTTAGTTACATGTGCAAGTTTTCCAATTTAAAAATACTACACGTATACTGTTCAAGAAAACCAGGCTGTGATTCAGAAATTACATGGATTCTAAATCAGTAAGGTGCTGAAGAAACAGTTTTGTAAGGGGCTGGGGATTTAGCTCAGTGGCAAAAGCGCCTGCCTGGCAAGCGCAAGGTCGTGAGTTCAGTTCCCGGTACCGGAGAAAAACCAAAAAAAAAAAAGAAACAGTTTTGTAATAATTTCCTTATTGTCTGAGAGAAGATAAAATACCTTGGTACATTTGGATTATGGCCTCAAAAATGCTGATTGTTGCACACACACATCACTGAATAAAACTTTGGAAATACTATAGAAAAGGCACGTCACATCATACACCATGTTCCGTGTTCCGTTGAAATATATGTTTATTCTCCTTTTAAAATTGTCTTTCATATTTGCCAGTAATAGACTGAGAAAAAGATGCTAGTTTGAAATTTTGGTATATATTCAATTGCTATTTGTATGTAAAATATTACAATGTGGTATTGAACTTGGTTCAGTAGTAATTTTAAAATGCGTGAGTTAGCTGAAAGTCCCTTCTACGATAGAATTTATGAAAAGTATTTGAGGGTTAATTGTAATGGTAGTGAAATTCTTAGGATTTTATTTTAGCTTTGCTTTTTCTTCTAAAATTTAATGTTAAATGTCTGATGTAATGCTTCAGAGATAGGCTTTCACTTTTTAAACCAGGAGACTGGATTAGGTGATTGATAAAATCAATTTCAAAAGTAATTGTGAGTCTCTAAATAGTCATTAAATGAATAATGTTTAGATATTCAAATTCCACGTTTTCCAACAAGCAGTCAGAACCAGCTCTCAAGATTCATTCGTGTACATCTCTTTCCATGTTCACTTAAGGCAATTCTGTTTGGGTAGGTTGATGTCAGTCATATTGGGAATGTTTAGACTTCCATGATAATCAGCAACTACTACCAGTTTTTTCTGGATAACCACATTTTGATGCTTACAAAAACTCCAATTCTTAAGTTATTTTATACAAAGCAACCTCATGGTCATAAATACAGTATGAATGAACAGAAATGTAAAACAATGACTCAAGAGGAATTTGTACTGTATCTTCTTATAAATATGGATACACAAGGAAATGATTTCCTCCTAGAAAACCTTTGGAACTACCTGTAAAAAAGGATGACTATATCTTGGGGAGATACAGCTTACCAATTTCAAGTTCAAACAGTAGTTCACTTCAATAAATTTAAATATTTTCTATTTAATCTACATAGATATAACAGATCTACTCAGGATGCACAAAATAAGATGCACTTTGAGAAATTTAATTTCTTAAAACTTAATTGCATTTCATTTGTGACTTTTTCAATTGTTATTCTTGCGTAGTTGTAAACCAGCATAAAATATCGAAACCACATTTTACTAAGAAAGTGTGTACTGTCACATATCAATTCACAGTTATCGGGGCTGGGGATTTAGCTCAGTGGCAAAAGTGCCTGCCTGGCAAGCGCAAGGTCGTGAGTTCGGTTCCTGGTACCGGAGAAAAACCAAAAAAAAAAAAAAGTCACAGTTATCATCTTGACTCACATAGACCAGCCTTTCTTAAAAAGCAATATTTCAAGAACAGCTACAGACCCAAACCAGGAAAGAGACATTAAGGAAACAGTAGCCAGTTGGAGGAGTGTGTAATTTTTCTTCAAGCAGTTACTGTGTGGACCTGGTTAAGTATTTTTCTTTCCATGAAGCTCTACTAAGGCTGTGTACAGTCAGGGTTTGATGATATGATAGGTAGAGAAAGTGAGAGTGTTTAACTGATGATAGCTGCCTTTTCACTCTGGCCTCTGAGAAGGTTTTAAATTATTTTAACTTCATGCGCAATTACATTTACTGCATTTGGTGATGAGCAGACATAGGTAATTATTCTCAAGCAAATGGAATAGTTGTACAAGATATGAGTAATATTTGTGATATGACCCACATACTTAAACAATGCAAATGCTAATAGACTGTCAGCATTTACATTCAAATGTAAAATCTAAAAGAACTTAAACTATTAAATATATTGCAAGAGGCAAAATGATTTAGTTTCAATATTTTAAAGCACTTAAGCACCAGCTATAAATATTACTCTTTACATTTTCAATTTTAACTTGACATCTATTGACTTAGAAACTCTTCTAATTACCATAATTGTTTTTTAAATAACCATTTAAGGGTTTATTTACAGTTAATCTAATTATAGTTGATTGAAGCTTCAACTTATTTCTTTAACCATTTTTGGAAAGAGATGGCTGGAGGCAGGTGGAATACATATGGTAACAGACACACCAACTTATTTTCTGTTAGTGTGTGGATTTTTGATCTTACATATACAGTTACTTTAATCATCAATAATGTATAATATGTGATACATGGTAGCATATGAATGCTCAGCAAGGAAAGCTGGTATAATATTAGCTGTTTAGTTAGAATAAAGAGCAAGAAAGTATTAATAGCATTTACATTTTGAATATAATTCAATGTATTTTTCCAAATGGGATCACCTCTGGACCAAATGGAAGGTATATCGGGCTGTAACTGGGCAAACACTGCAGTGTATAATTCCATAGATACTTTTTCAAGCAAAAGAAAATCATAAGTATGTGTGATCTTCTGATACTTTTTCCTTGTAATAATAACTGCTACTGGCTTAGATTTCATAAAGAAGGAAGTGTGCTTCTATGGTGTGTGTGTGTGAATTTGGGAGACATTGCAAAGTATATGTCAATCAACCTTAATCAAATGAGTCTAATATCACCTAACATTAGTCGGTAATTATCATTTTCCTAGAAAATCTGGTACTGACTAGAGGAAGAAGTATTTTATTTTTTTAGCAATCTAATCTATATAGGAGGAGGATTTTGGCAGCTAACTGAAGATGATTTACTGATTTATGTAACTGCCACATTTTATTTTTATTGTGTGAATGTGAACTCATCATTAACACAGACAATCGCTTGTGAATTACCATGGAATGTCACCTTCTCAGTATCAGTGCCGTGTACTAAAAATTACCCTGGTCTGTGGTTACAAAATCTAGGTCAGAGGCTCAGTGTAAGCTTGTTTTTGCTGAGGCTTATGTCATTCTAATTTGCTAAAGTTTTCTATACTCGTGATTAAAATTGAGCTAATGACTATTTTGTCTATTTTTGAGGCTTGTGAGTTGAATAAGTGAAAGTACTGTAGTCTGTAATCTGTAAAACACTGTGAAAATGTAAGGATTTATTATGAAACATTCTGAAAATGATGTTAAAGTGGTGATTATATTTATTATTATATTTATTATTATATGGTGAGCACTGGTAACTTCTTTTGGAGGAAATATCTACTGAGAAAGAATACGTGCAATTTAGAATCTTAAGTTATGAAGGAGACAATTGGTTTAGTTATTTGAAAACTGGCTTTTAAAACTTTAAGTCTTTAAAGTTGAGGCTCTAACATAAGCTCATCCAGTTATTTAAAAGAATTGAAAGGATCAGCAACGAGAAGGGATTAAAAATAAAAAACAATTCTTTCCTAATCGTGATGACTCAGTGGAAGATAAAGAGTTTTAGATGATCTCAAAATCCTTGCAGAAATACAAATACACCCAAAAAACATATTTGAAAGACAATAATGAGTAGAATAGGTAGCTTTACTGACCTTGAGAATAGAGGAAAAATAAGTGAGGATGTAGGCAATTCAATAATTTTATCAATTATGCTGGCATATATGATTAACTAATACACTGCAAAGAATTAAAATACAGTAATATAATTCAACATTAAAAACATCCTGAGTGCAATATACTCTTGTTTTGATTGGAATATCTTACAGTGACATATCTTAGCCTTTTATGAATGAAACAACTCTAGAAAACTGAAAATGAGTATATATTGAAGTCTACTATGTGTTCATGATTCTCTACTCATTAAATGACTGTCAATAAAACCTCAACCATTAGAATCTGGCTGTTTGATGCTTAAACAAAAAATTATTTATGAATACATTGGTATTTATATAAAGAGAATGTTGAGAAGTACAGTATACGCTCATTCAAATCCATTAACTCTTACACTATAATTTCATTAATTAATGTACTTATGCTCAAAGTTTATATTTTTATAAGCAGAAAAATATTATACAGTACTGTACTGCTTCATGCTGCATTTTTGTGAGTATAAACACTAGGTTGTTGTAAATCAAGACCCGGATTTTGTTATACATTGTACATGATTATTATACAAGAAATCACCTTTTAAAAATAATACATCTGATAAGTACATGGCAATTGCATATGTATATAATATGCTCATGCATATATACAGAAAACTTCCAATAGTGTGTATACACATTTATATGTGTGTACATATGCTAATGCATACATACACAGTTCTAGGCTAAATGTTGCATTGAAGTAAATTACTTTTCATGTTTTTTTTATAGATTCAAAGATTCTTATGGCTATCAGAGCCAACCTCTACAGTTAAATAGAGTGCATATGCTGCAAAACACAGTGGATGTTTGCAGAGCATCTCTTCCCGAAAGATTTCAGAATTTCTCAAAATGTAGAGAATTTAAAACTTCATGTATGTAAAATATACAATATAAATTGCATTAAGATTATTATTGCATATTTTAGGTTTCACTATATTACATTAGAAAAAACTTGAAATGGTATTGCTTACTTGAGTCACTTGAACAAATAAATACAAGAGGATTTCAAAAAATTTTATTGATCACTAGATCAATTCTGAAAATCCAGTTCCAATTAACTATGGAAATAAAATATGATATTTAAAACAGGGGTCAGAATCTGGTGAAATTGTTTTTCAAATCATGCCCTACTGGTCAATATTCAAATATTTGAGATTTTTAAAGCAGATAGAGGAATCAAGTTTCAGAAGTATAGAACTGTGGAGGTTTACGTAAAGTATACAGTTAACTTGTGTCAGATGTGGGCAAACAAATACTTATGAGAGTTGTTTATTGCCATGCTCTATTGTTATGTGTTGTGTTGTATTTTTAAAACATCAGAAAAGCTGACACATATGAAGGCATCATAGAAAAAATAATTTCCCCAAATTCTGATGAGCAAAATATCTGAGACATACAGGGATGACTTCTCTTGTCACCGTTCTCATCTGTAATAGTGATCCCTAATTGGTTTCCAGTTTATACATCTTGATAACTTGGCACATGAAGTGAAATGAGTACTATTGTAATGAAAGTTTGATGTGTTATTCTGAGTAGCTGATCTTTATATAAAATTATCATAATAAAATTTGCCATGTATTTGCCATTTTAAATTCCAGAAAGTCCTAATATATGTGCTACTAGTTGTTTTACAAATCTGTAAATTGTGTCACTTAGGCATCATTTTGCCCAAAAAGGCATTCCCGTTTTAAGAAAAAAGTCAAAGCCCAGATTAGTTGCAATTTATCCAAGGAAACATGTAAATGATAGGGATAAAAGAAGAAGAAAAAAGACATTTTGCTCATTATCTTTTCTACTACTATAAACCTTCAAGAATTGATATTCTGATTTGGATAATTAACAAGTTGGACATCATTACAAATTTGTCCTCTCTAATTTAGATAAGCTTTAGCTTCTTCACAAAGAGTATTAGAATTTTTCATTTATTTTTCTTTTAAAAATTCTAAATGGGAAAATAACAGTAAATTCCGTATTTAAAATTACTGAGAAAGTAAAAATACTGTTTTGTTTTGTTTTTTTTT